TTCACTGTAGTAATTAATAAATTATCTATTATTCATTGATATATAAATAACAAAAGTGCTTTTAGTAGCCCCCTCAAGAGTATGGACTTTGGGGCACCTGGGTGGCTCAGTGGGTTAAAGCCTCTGCGCTCGGATCAGGTCATGATCCCAGGGTCCTGGGATCGATCCCCATGTTGGGCTCTCTGCTCCGCAGGGAGCCTCTTCCTCCTCTCTCTCTGCCTGCCTCTCTGACTACTTGTGATCTCTATCAAATAAATAAGTTAAAAAAAGAAGTATGGACATTATTTTTAGAATCTCAACAATCTGCTCCTGGGCTGTGCATTTTTAAAAAATTCTTTATGTAAGTTCAATTCAGTTAATACATAGTGTATTATTAGTTTCAGGGGTAGAATTTTGTGATTCATGAGTTGCATATAACACCCAGTTCTCATTACATTAAGTGCCCTTCTTCGTGCCCGGCATCCAGTCACCCTGTTCCCCATTTATTTCCCCTCTAGCAACTGTCACATTGTTTCCTAGAGTTAGAGTGTCTTACGGTTTGTCTCCCTCTCTTTCATCTTATTTTATTTTTCCTTTCCTTCCCCCAATGTTCATCTGTTTTGTTTCTTAAATTCCACATATGCGTGAGATCATATGATAATTGTCTTTTCTGGTTGACTTATTTCACATAGCATAATACCTTCTAGTTCCATCCATGTTGTTACAAATAGCAAGATTCCAGTTGATGACTGAGTAATATTCCTGTGTGTGTGTGTGTGTGTGTGTGTGTGTGTGTGTGTGTGTGTATTATATCTTCTTTATCTGTTCATCTGTTGTTGGGCATCTGGGCTCTTCCCATATCTTGGCTATTTTGGACATTGCTTCTATAAACACTGGGGTGTATGTGCCCCTCTGAATTATGATTTTTGTATCCTTTGAATAAATACCAGTAGTGCAGTTGTTGGGTCATAGGTTAGTTCTATTTTTAACTTTTTGAGGGACCTCCATACTGTTTTCCAGAGTGGCTGCACCAGCTTGCATTCCCACTAACAGTGTAAGAGGGTTCCCCTTTCTCCACATCCTTGCCAACATCTGTTGTTTCCTATGTTAATTTTAACCATTCTGACTGATGTAAGGTGGTATCTCATTGTGGGTTTGATATGTATTTTCCTGATGCTCAGTGATGTTGAGCAAAATTTTCATTTGTCTGTTGGCCATTTGTATGTTTTCTTTGGAGAAATATCTGTTCATGTCTTCTGTCTCTTGACTGGATTATTTGTTCTTTGGGTGTTGAGTTTGATAAATTCTTTATGGATTTTGGATACTAGCCCTTTCTCTGATAAGACATTTGCAAATATCTTCTCCCATTTTGTACATTGTCTTTTGATTTTGTTGATTGTTTCCTTTGCTGTGCAGAATCTCTTTATCTGTGTGAAGTCCACGTAGTTCATTTTTGCCTTTGTTTCCTTTGTCTTTGGAGACGTGTCTAGCAAGAAGTTTCTGCGGCCGAGGTCAAAGAGGTTGCTGCCTTTGTTCTCCTCAAGAATTTTGATGGATTCCTTTCTCACAATTAGATCTTTCATCCATTTTGAGTTTATTTTTGTGTATGGTGTAAGAAAGTAGTACAGTTTCATTCTTCTACATGTGGCTGTCCAATTTTCTCAACACCAGTTATTGAAGAGACTGGTTTTTTTCCATTGGGTATTCTTTACTCCTTTGCCTAAGATTAGTTGAATATAAGCACTTGACAAAATATAGCATCCTTTCTTGATAAAAACCCTCTATCATGTAGGGATGGAGGGAACATACCTCAACATTGTAAAAGCCATGTGTGAGAGACCCACAGCAAACATCATCTTCAATGGAGAAGAACTGAGATCTTTTCCACTAAGATCAGGAACATGACAGGGATGTTCATTCTTACCAGTGTTGTTCAGTATAGTACTGGAAGTTCTAGCCTCAGCAATCAAATAAAAAGAAATAAAAGGCATCCAAATCGGCAAAGAACAAGTCAAACTTTCAGTCTTTGCAGATGACATGATACTCTATATAGAAAGCCCAAAAGACACCACTAAAAAATTGCCAGACCTGGTAACAGGAGTTCAGCAAAGTCACAGGATGTAAAATCAACATACAGAAGTCAGTTGCATTTCTGTAGACTAGTAATGAAGCAGAAAAAAGGGAAATCAAGGGATTGATTTCCATTTATAATTATGCCAAAAGCCATAAGATACCTAGAAGTAAACCTAACCAAAGAGGAAAAGCATCTCTGAAAACTGTAGAACACTTGTGAAAGAAATTGAGGAAGACACAAAGAAATGGAAAAACATTCCATGCTCATGGTTTAGAAGAACAAATATTGTTAAAATGTCTGTGCTAACTGAACATAATAAAAAAAAAATGTCTATGCTATCCAGAGCAATCTACACATTCATTGCAATCCCTATCAAAATATCATTTTGATAGCATTTTTCACAGAGCTGGAACAAACAAGCCTAAATTTTGTATGAAACTAAAAAAGACCCCAAATAGCCAAAGGAATGTTAAAAAAGGAGATCAAAGCTGGAGGCATCACAATTCTGGACTTAAAGCTGTGATCATCAAGACAGTATGGTACTGGCACAAAAACAGACACGTATATCAATGGAACAGAATAGAGAACCCATAAAGGACCTTCAACTCAATGGGTTGTGCATTTTTGAGTAGGTGTTAGCAGCTACTAAGTGAGCTAGGTTCTCACCCTGATGAACAACATACATTTAATTGCATTGTATTTTAAAGTAAATTCTAAACCTTATAAGAAATAGTATAACCACATTCCATATAAAACATGTTTTTGGGTGCCAATATATTAAGTCATTATTCGGAGTTTTGAAATGAATGGTAGAACTTTTTGATAATTTCATTTTTTAAAATTTTACCTTAACATTTTAATTTAAATAAATTTAACATTATTACCTCCTAGATGTCCAACATAACATTAAATGCATTTTTTTCTGAAATGTCTTATAACTCTGACATTCTTACTAGCTTTGTTAATAGGCAAGCCTGAACTTTGTTAATTGCTTATGTGACTGAGTAAATCCTGGATGAGAGCAGACTGGGGAAAAAGATCAGGAAACCAGAGTTATTTTCCATAGTAATCTCATGGCTTAATAAAATTAGGGAAGTTGTTCAGCTTTAATGTGTTCAGAGAAACTTCCTTTGTTATCTATCCTCCTCTACTCCTAAAATAGTAATAGCTAGTAAAATAATATATGAGAAATGTGGTAGAACTCATGTGCCCTAATGACTTAAGTAGCTTTGGAAAGTAAAATATCATTTGATCGGTATTGAGTTAATATATGATCAAGGAATACTTTATCCACTAAGGAGACTTATTTTTTACTTGTCATATGATAAAATATCAAGTCAAACTCTGTGTGATTTGGTCAAATCATTAATCTCTCTAAAGCCTTGGTTTCTTCATAAGTAAAACGAAGGTAATAGTAATAAAATAATATAATAAAGTGATATGTGTAAAACTCATAGCAAAATGTCTACCACGTATATTCTCAAAAATAGTAGCCATTTTAAGGGGGGGAGGGAAGGCATCCAAAGAAGACTTTGAAGAGAGTGATCAACAGTGTCCAAGTGATCTCCAGTCACTCAGAAGCAAGTTAGAATTCAAAATACAGGCTTATCTTCTAAGATGTGGTGTATGTATGCCTGATAAACCACTCATTCTGCAGAATTGCACACTAAAAATAATAGATCCTATGGGGGAAAGAATTAAGGTTTAGGCAGACCACTCAAAATCTGTGCAGCTTTATATTGTTGTTGTCAGTTCTCTAGTTACAATCCTAATGAAAATATTAACTCCTGTAACTCCTAGCAACATTTGCACCCAACATCACAGTCAGCTAACCATTTGCATCACGTTTCCTCTCGGATGGAGTAGGTGGCAGTTACTGAATGCACTTGATTCTAATAATTTCATGAACGTTAAACATCTGATTCAAGCTACAGGGAGAAATGTATTCACAGCTTTCTGTAACAGAAAGCTTAACTGTTGAAAAGTATAGGGTTCTTGACTCTACTAAACCAACTCCTATTTGTGCTAAAGGAATTGACTTGTACAGAATTTTTGCCACTCATTTCCAGCTTTTTAGGACTTCATACATTGTTAAGGCTTTCTCATTAATTGGGATGAAAGCTTGCCCCTGATACCTTCAAATGTTAACATGCTAGACAAAACTCATATGAACCAGCAAGACATCCAAAGTCCAAATTATATTGGTATTGTTCATTGTTTACCAATGGCAAAGGAGGTCTTTTATATAAATACCTATTTATATATGTATACTATGTATTAGATGAAAGAATTCTGAACTCTTCTTAAGCTCTTTGGAACTAAGTTGTTTATAGAGAATAAAAGAAATATAAATAAAACATGTTTCTCTTGTTGATTCTGTTTCATGTATATCAAACACTTTTAGGGGTAGTTTAATGACTAAGTCATAGTAGAGACATCTGTTAGTGTTTTCTTAGATTTTTCCTGTGCTTATTCTCTGCAGTTGGCTGAAAAGTCTATGAAATTATCTCCGGCTCACTAGCAGAAGTCCCCATTCCTGTTAAAAGTTACTGTTTAGTATCAATTTGATTTATCCTATTCCTGTAGCAGTATCTGTACTCCCCCTTCCTCAACAAACACCTTTCAGCCGTGCCTCTAAGGCATTTCTATCTAATTCTAGCATTGAAAGATCAAACTGTGCCTTTGATGTGTTTGGGAGGGTTTTGCGCAAGATAGGCAGAGACCATTTTGATCAAATTATTCCATGTGTATAATACACTTTATGCTTTACATTGGTATTAAAGTATTGTAATCTAACTGGTCCACTTTGCCAAATGTTCATGAATTTAAAAAAAAATAGTTATGCTATATTTTAAGAGTGTCACTTCATATCAGTGCAGCAAGTTCTTGCTTACAAATTATGTGCATAATTTTGTTGGGTCACACTGATTATGTCATTTTATTTTAGCTGCATTAAGAGGAGATGATTCCCTTGTTTCAAGTCCTGATGTCACGGATATTGCACCAAGTAGAAAGAGGCGGCAGCAGATGCAGAAGAATCTTGGGACAGAACCTAAAATGGCTTCTCAGGTACCTGGGCCTCAAGAAGAGGAAAAGTAAGTCATTTTATTTTTTGCCAAATGATGAAATATCTTTAAAAAAAATCCAATATCTGATCTCAAAAATTATATTTTTATTTCTAAGTTTACTTAAGGCTATTTTTAAAGAATAAAAATTGTGACTTAGAAAGTATAAAATGTTCAAATCAATATATTTTCTCTGGTATTTGGTTAGTTCCTATTAACATTTAAAGCAAAAGCGCTAAAAATATATGCAAAATGTTTTTTTCTTGTGGTTTTTATAGATTAATTAGAAATGGCATGTAGATACTAAAAATATTAGAATCCAGCTTGTGTTCAGTAAAGTGTTTCAATCTAATTTACTGCTTTAAACAGACCCATATAGCATTTGAATGAGCTACTTGATTTGGTTATGCTTAGAAATTTCTCAAGTGAAAAGTCTCTTTCTAGTCATCTATTTCTTTCTATTAAATTTTGGAGTTACATGCTTTATTCTTAAGAGTTTTTCACTCTTTCATTCACATACCCTCCTTTGATCTGCATCCCAATTTATTTGTAATGAGCTGAGGACTTGGGATAATTAACATTTTATTGTAGTGAAATAGTCAGCATTTATAAAGAATAAGTATCAGTTGAATCCAAAATGAATGTGCACATCATTTGTATGTTTGGATATATGTATATGTCCCCTTAGAATTTATTTATTTTCCTTTTTAAAAAAAAAGATGTATTTCTTTATTTGAGAGAGAGAGAATGGGAGAGAGTGAGAGAGAAAGAGAGCATGAGGGGGGAGGATCAGAGGAAGAAGCAGACTCCCTGCTGAGCAGGGAGCCCAGTGTGGGACTGTATCCTGGGACTCCATGATCATGACACCCGAGCCAAAGGCAGTCGCCCAACCAACCGAGCTACCCAGGTGCCCCTTTATTTTTTTCTCTAAACTTTTTATTAACTAACTTTTTATTAACTCAGCGAATAGTTATTAAACAATAACCTTATGACAAATGATATTACAGATTAGTGGTTTCACAGTATGGAATAAGGACCCCTGGGGTATCCATAAGCTCATCCCTTCTTCAATTTCATAACTGGGTGGAATATATTTCATATATTGCAATTAAAATAACATGTCAGATCTGTTGAATGGAAGGACTTTTCATTTAAGCCAGCAAAGAAATAGATATGCAAAAGTGTAAAAGATTATTCTCACAGGAGTTTCTTCTTGGGAAATATAATCATCTTTCATAAAGAATATGATATTCGTGTTATCATATACCGGGTTTATTGTTATTTTTAAATGAATTAATAAATATATAAAAATTTTCCGGGTTTTACTTTGAATATGATACAGTCCACATAAACAAAAGGCTTTTGAGGTCCTTAAGAACTTTAAAAGTGTAAAGACATCCTGAGAGCCAAAAGTTTTAGACAGTGAGGATGCCAGGACAGGCACAGTCCAAGCCTTCAGGAAATCCAGAGCCTGACAGGAGGGAATTTTCAAGTTTCTCATTTAAAAATAAGCGTTGTAGGGGTGCCTGGGTGGCTAAGTGGGTTAAGCCGCTGCCTTCTGCTTGGGTCATGATCCCAGGGTTCTGGGATCAAGTCCCACATCAGGCTCTCTGCTCAGCAGGGAGCCTGCTCCCCCCCCAACCCTGCCTGCCTCTTTGCCTACTTGTGATCTCTGTCTGTCAAATAAATAAATAAAATCTTTAAAAAAAATAAGCATTGTACAGTTAAGAGTGGAATTCGTTTGTTTGTTTATTTATCATTGGGTTTTTATTCTCTCCACAATTGGCCTGATCTGTTGGTACTTGAAAATGCCTTTATGTTTTTTTGCCCTTATATCCTCAGACAATACATATAAAAACCCAATGTGTACTAAACTCTTACTGATTTGTACTTATCATCTGAATGTATTTATTAGCTCATAAACTTCTGGCTTCATAGAGTTTAAAGGTATTGCATTCTCTCTTTTAAATAATGAACCAAAAATATTTCCAATTTGCAAATATTAGAGCAGCCAGGCCATTCCTGTAGATTATTGTGGGGAAAAATAAAATTATAGTTTAAAGTATTCAGGAAACTCTGTACTTGATTCAGTCAGTCTGTAAGCAAATGAGCAGTGAGAATCACTTGTGTGCCAGACATAAACTGGATGTTGAGGATTCAGGAGAGTAGAAAACAAACCCAGCCCCTGTCCTCATGGAACTTTTGGTTTAATTGTTTTTTCTTATAAAGATTTCAGGTTTGTGTGAAGAATGAAATATATTCATTTTATGTTAGAGAGCTGCACCTTAGGTCTTTTCACTCTGTGTGAATGATACACAAGGTTTTGAGGTTACTAACATTTTCTGATTACACAATATTGCTCGTAACAGGTTTCCAATATGCGCCGTACAGAGATGAAAAAAGTTTAGATCTGAATCAAGACTGAATATTTTGTTTAGACTTTTTAATAAATGCAGTGTGTTTGTTTGCATACTATCTATATGCAATTAATGTTGTGTTCCTTTTCTGTGTTTTGATAATCATGCCAGTACTTATTTTGTATATTTTCCCTACTTTAAAAGTTGATAAAAACTTTGAATTGTCTGTTAATTATATTACTTTGAACCTTTAGGCTCAACTGGCCCTTACAAGAAATGAAAAACATATGCTAGATGTCAGGAAGCATTTTAAAGATGAAAGGAAATTGTTTTGCATTTATCAATCAGATGGAGAATGGTTGATACCCTGCTTTACAATTCCTCTTCCTTTGCCCAAATAAAACAGAAAGAGAAATTATATTTTTTGTTTTTATTTTTGTATACTTTTGAGTTTTGTTTTAGCATTTTGAATACGGAAGGCTGAAATTTTATGGCTGTTAAACTTTAAAGTCCCAGTTTTGTTTTGTTTTTTTTTACGAGTTTTCTTAATCAAAAATATTAGAAAGCTTCTAGAAAACAAAAAAATAGGAACAAGCTCTTAACTGATGAAAACTTAAGACATTCTCAAATACTGACAATGAACCCTTATTTTATGTCTTTAGATTTAAACTACTACCTATATCCTAACTTCCCAAACATTTTTTTTCCCAGGTGATTTCTCTTATACCTCAGTTAGGCAAATATACTGGCACTGTAGCCTCCCAAACAAATGCAGATGTGGGTGTTGACTTCTTAGGGTTAAAAAGATATTGGCCCCTAACTCCAAACTTCTTAGTGTCCCAAGCCCTCTTTGACAAATTCTGTGGCCTCTAGTTCCTTAAAATATTCCCACTGGGCATCTTCCATATATTTTCTTTGGCTTCTCTTGCCTTTTCCAGCTCTGTACCTCAAAAACAAAGTGGAGGAAGGGAAGATTACTCTGATTTAATTTTTTAAAAATTTTATGTCTGCTGGACATATTTATGCAAGTCATTTATGCAAGTCATTGCCTCTTTCTGGAATTTCGTTTTCTCGTTTCTAAAATGAAAGGATTGAACTAGATAATCTGTAAAATCTCCCAATATCTGTAATTTTATTATACTTTTAACTACTACTATTAAAACATGAACATGATTCAGCAATAAATTACTCATATTTATTAGGTATTAGCAATTAAAATTCATGAAAAATAAAAGATTAAAAAAATACAAATCTGAGAAAATTATCTTTTAAGTTTATATATTTGTGAGTATTTCACAATGTAAAAATTTTAGTACATTTCTAAATACCATGGGTTGGTTACTTTGTATTCTTTAAAAAATCTAAATACTAATATATGTTAATCTGTGTATGTACTAATCTATACTAATATTAATCCATAAAACAAAATCATGGTAATTTTTAACTTTATTTAAACATCTGTTGTGATACTGTCATTGGTATAGTGACAAGGTATGGGAGAAGAGATAGAAAATAAGAATTGTGGTAGATGTTTTCTTTCATTTAAATCTCACACAGATCCTACAAGGTAAATATTAATTTACCCTTCTTAGAGTTGAAAAACAACTCAGGCTCAGAATTATATAATTATTTTTCCAGAGCAGCACGTCATTTTATTTCAAAGCCTGTGCTTGGTCTCCTGCCTGAAGGGGCTTATCCTCTATTGAGAGACAGAGATTTACACAAATAATTTTGTGATTATAAGAACAGAGTGAGAGGAGAACGCTAGCTTTCAGATTTTTAATTGGAATGTTTGGAATTGTATTCCAAATTTTTAGCTTATATCATAAGTGGGAGTAGTTTTAGGTCATTTTATGTAAATCTGAGACCCCCTTTTGATCTATGGTAGAGAGGTATTCTTAGAACTAATCTAAGTTAGTTCTTAGATTAATTAATTAACTAATCAGTGGGGTCTCTAATTCCATCTCACCAGCATGGCAATATTAGAAAATCAAAATCTGTTATTTATCTATCATATTTCAGCACGTTCGTGGTTAAAAATTATAGTAACCTAGTTCCTTATGAACTAATGAGATAGCATTATAAAATAGTAAATTGTAGTTTAACTGCCTTTGATAAAAATTGCATTATTTTCTAGCTGAGGGAAGTAAATCAATTTGTAAGTAAACTTTTAAAATTTCTGGGCAAACTATGTATATTAAGTATGAAAGAGAATTTGTAGTAAAGTTATTTGTACCAATAAAAATACTAAATAGTGAAATACACAATAGAGTTTTTAGCAGAAAACATGACTAGTAACTACTGTGGAAATGTTTACCATATTCTGTAAGATTTTATTAAAATATATTATTTATGTTATATTAATATATAGTTAAGTCAAGCCTGAAATATTTGCTCTTGATAAAAAGTATGCTTAAAACTTCAGGAATAAGATTAAACTAAATAGTGAAACCACATAAAGACCCAAGTCTGCTCACTTTTTCATTCTGACCCTCTGTTAGCTCCTTTCTCCATTTTTCTATGGTAGAAAGATAACAGATTTTTCTTCAGAAAGATGTAAGGAACCAAGCAAATTAGAAGTGCCTTCTCAGAGTGTCTGGGCTCTAAAGCACCATGTAATGAATGGATAGCAATGCAGTTAGTGAACAACTAGATACCTTCCACACAGGCAAA